CAAAGTGGGGCCCCCAAACGATAGCTAAGTTGGTTTATAACTCCAATAAATATGGTTTATGGTACCTATAACTATAGTCAATGGTGTTTATAAACCATCTAACATCACTCGGGGGCCCCACATTGTAAACATCCTAAAATCATATGATTTCCCTTGAAATCATATGATTTCCCCTGTCATTTCCCGATTTTCCGGTGGTAGAAGCCATGAAATATCCCCATCATCACTGGGTTGAAGGGAACATCTTAACCGGAAACCATGGTTTTTCCCATCAAATGTAGGGTTTCCCCAGTATATTTTCCCTGAAACCAATCCATTGACATTAACTATATCCCCACTGAATCCCATTGAATCCCTCAAATCCCATTGAAGCACCATGAAATCTGCAGGCGCAGCTTGAAACCATGGGAGGTTACGGGACTGATGGGCATGGCTGGGAACCTCGGGGTGATGGGTCCATGGCCTGTATAAACAGCCCATGTGTTATCGGGGAAATGATATGTTATGATATGATAATCGTGGGATTGTGTTTATCTGGATTGAATATCATAATATGGGGATATAGTGGGATTATATATATACATATATATATACATGGGATATGAATACTGATAAATGATGATGATGATGATGATGTGGGTAAAACAATGCCATTTTTACCACCCATGACTGGGAATGGTTTATATATACCACCTATAAAAATATCGCGATGACTGGGGGATGGTAAACATGATGACATTGTTTTACCCACAGAAATATCCATTGGATTTGGGCGGCGGGGTAGCCTATTTTCAGACAAACCAATGGATGTGTTTTTTCCTAAACAGACCAAGGAAGGATGTGGATGATTGTTTTTTGTTGCTGTTATCCCGCTGGTTTTTTGAGTTTGTTAAACCAATGACATGGTGTTTTTCTCGATGTTTTGGGTTCGTTGTGGGGCTGCAAATGGAATGCAGAATTGGTGACTGGGTGAATTGGTTGGGTATGTATGGAGGAATAGAAAGGTATCTAAGATTAAATACGGGTTGAGTATCACAGGGAGTTCATGTACAAACACCAAGCAACAGCACTAAACAGCGAAACAAATACAAGTTTGTGTAAGCTGAAACATTGTAGTCATGTTTATTTGTGCTTTCATACAGTCATAGTGTTTAATCATTTATTATTTTCAGTGATGAAACACCCCCATCTAGATGGTCGCACCAAATGTCCTTTGTTTTGTCTGGGATGGACACTAAACAATCGCGAAATCCCAACACTTAGCATATGGGTCCCGTTCACGGAGGCCAAGGATTTTCGAAAAACCCGACCTTTTTGCGAAAGTCTCGCGCTGGCTCAGTGGCTCAGTGCTACAAGGTGGTGCCCCATAGTTAGCTAAGTTGGTTTATAACTCCAATAACTATGGTTTATGGTAGATATATCTATACTTACTATGGTTTATAAACCACTTATAACTGGGGGGTACCACCTTGTAGCCCTTGATTCTGAGGCCCCTATGCTGCACTTGCACTACAGCAAGCCATAGGGCCCAGCTCTGCGCTCTTGGTTTTGTGGGGTCCAAATGATGCCATAACACACAGCTAAGGCGTAGCAAAGGTGCAAGGTGCTAGAGACAGTGGTAGATTTGACTTGACATTTCTATTTCGTGGTGAATGGAGGGAACGGTGAAGGGAGCTATGTGTATTTAGCATTCATATTCCCAATGGGGAATGAAGGAGCTACCAATAGAGATTGGAGTTTCCCAACCACATGATAGTTATATATATATATATATTGGTTTGTACCTATGTGTTGTTTGTTTTTGTTTTGTGTGTGTGGATGTGTTTCCAAGCTTTAGATATCTTGAAAACAGCTGATGTTCATCGCGGCAAAGAAAATCGGATCCAACGTGATGGAACCAATGAACAGCGGGATATAAAGAAACCATCGTAGGTACAAGGTGGTACCCCCCAGTTATAAGTTGGTTTATAAACCATAGTAAGTATAGATATATCTACCATAAACCATAGTTATTGGAGTTATAAACCAACTTAGCTAACTATGGGGCACCACCTTGTATGTAAAGAACTGATGATCTCCCGAAGTGAATGGGAATGGATTAGTTTGGAAAATCGAAACCAGAGCCCCCTATATTTCATGGGAAAAACATGGTTTACTGTTAAGAGGTTCCCTTCATGTTGCGGACATTAAACGAACCCAATTGATGAATGGGAATTGAATTGACATCAGACAACCATGGCTCAGAGTCGCATGTGTCCATGTGTTCATTGGCAATGTCAACCCAAAATAGAAAGTTTTGGCTGATGATGTTTGCTGATTCGTACATTGAAGCTTCTTTTGGTTCACCGTTGCTTACACAAATCTTGATCCTGCTTCGTTATTATACCGGCAATGAAGCAGCATGAATGGAAAATCACCATTGATTATCTTCCAAATAACATTTCTAACATTTCCATGTGCCTTCCCGTGCCATCAAACATGGCAATCGGAAATCACAAATGGTGGTTTTCATGGAATAATCATCTACAGGGTGGTGCCATAAGTTGGCTTATAAAACCCATGAAAACCAGTACATTATATCTACCATAGACCTTAGAATTCAGCCACAGCCAGGCCTCTCAACTGAACGCTGAAGGGGACCCCATCACAGCAGGTTTCCCCATTGCCCATGCATTGCAGGCTGGACAGGGGCGACAAGCGAAAGATTTTGTCTCGCAAGTACGACACGGATGTGACCCGATAGAGCGACACGGGGGCTAGTGACGGCTAGTCTGGTTGGTGCTTTGGAACCATGGAATTTTATGACTTTCCATATATTGAGAATAATTATCCCAACTGACGAACTATTTTTTCAGAATTGCTGAAACCACCAACCAGTTGTTTTTGTTGGGTGAAAAGGCTTGCTATGATATGCTATAACCATGGGCTAGTGACGGCCAGAAGTTTGGGATCAAATCACCGGTAAATGGACCATAAATGGACCATGGACATACCATGTTCCATAGCAGCATGTTGTAATTACCAGAGGGTAACTGTGGTTATATTTATATATATATATATATATGTATATATGTATACATATATATATATAATTATATCTGGTTGGTGGTTTCAAATATTTTCATTTTCCATAGTATATGGGATAATCCTTCCCATTGACTTTCATATTTTCAAGATGGTTAAAACCACCGACCAGTATATATATATATACACAGTTATATACACATATGTTGCTGGAACTGGATAGTAAAGCACCATGACAGGTCATGGTCCGATGATGTCCGATGTAGCATGGGTCAAGTCACCCAGGTTTTTCCCATGGAATCCCCTTTCAAGAAGAACACATAGTAGGTGCGATTTATGGATGTTTATCCGAGTTTATCCCAGGCAAAATTTATGGAAGCTGATTTCTTAGACGTTTTCTAGGACTTAGAACATTAAACAAAAGCAAAAAAAACCATTGAGCTGGTTCTCCCCTGGGAAAAGACGCAAGCTGGAAATTAGTGTCCAGCAATGTGGCAATATCCAAATCCATCAAACTAACTGGTCCAAGATGTGGCAAACAAGCTCTCAAACAACCAGTAGCTTCAAGGATAGCTGGTGACCTGGGTTCTGCTCAATTGGATCCTCATCCTACCCGAACTGGAGGCTTATGAAGTTGCAGCCCCTGATCGGAGATCTTAGGATGTATCCACCAGTTCGAAAAGTTTAACCAGTAAGGTGCTGATCAGGTTGGCAGATCCAAAATGGCAACCCCATCCCCTGAATATGAAATATCCTCTCAGACTCCCACGTGGCCGTCCAAAGGAAAGGCCATCGTATGTACATGTGAGATTTGGATCGTATGTGCACGCGGAGACATTTAGGAAAATGATCGTATGTACACGCGGGTAGCGGATTGCAGCTGGAGGCTGCTAACGCATCGTAACAGCTGCGTGAAGAGAAGAATTGCATGGGTTGCAGAATTTACAGAAGAGCTCACTGGGAGGCAGGTCAAAGCAGAAGTAGCCCAGATAATGAAGTAGCTGACGGAAGAGGTGCCTGCCTCAGCGAAGAGGTCGCTGAGTGACGAAGTAGCTTACAAAAAGAACGTATACCACTCACACTCATTCTCTCATCCATCCATCCATCCAATTATTTATTTATCCATTCACTGATTCATTTTGATTTAGTGGTTCGTCGATTCGATGATTCATTGATCCACTGATTCATTGATTCACTGCTTTGCTGATTCACTGATTCGCCGATTCATTGATTTGTGGTTTCATTGCTTCATTGATTCATGTGTAGTTATTCATCGACACTACTGCATTCATTGGAGTCAATGATTGGGCGCCAGTTGGGCGCCGAATATGTGATCATCCTGTATGCGTGTGAAGGAACGTTAACATCCCCTCCCCCCACCCCTCTTCCGAGGAGTTCGCTGCCCAGGACCTTGGCGTCCTTCGCCGACTGTTTGACCGGTTTGTGGTCTTCCTGGGGGCCTTGCCCAAACGTTTGGCGCACTCGGCGCCAAAGGCTTCTTGAGGTGCAAGTGGGCGTGCAGATGCGCCTCAGGGACCAAAGAAACAGCATAGCAGCAATGTTTGTTTTCAGCCCTTGCTTGCAGGGGGGAGGCGCATTCCATTGTCCGACAAGCCTTTGCGGGAGCCATCCGAATAGGCCATTTCTATGTGGTGGCGGACAACCCAGGGGTTCCAAAGGTCACAGTTTAAGATTAAGCAAGGTTTCTCTTAAATTATTCAAGCAAAGTTCCTTAATTAAGGAAAAAGTACCTTTCCTTATTTAAGAAAAGTTTTTTAAAGACAATTCAAACAGTGTTTGGCATGGTGAAAGGATACTGGTTTGTAACATGTTTTTAATGCTTGTAGAGATGAATGTAAAATTGTTTGTTCAGAATGGGCATGGATATTTTGTGCTCGGACGGATGAATTCCGGGGTTTTCCATTTTAAGTTTGTTTTTGGAAGTATAGACTGTGTATTCCTACAGGATGATGGGGAAGGATTGCGATGCGTAGGTTATTTACATGGGTTGACTTTCGAAGATAAGATATTTGCAAAGCACGCGGTGCCCACAGAAAATGTAAGTGGAATATTGTTTGTGTACATAGATCATGTTTGGAGAAACGGCGGTTTTCAAATTTTAATCTATTTTGCGGCAAAATGGGAAAAGAGACTTGCCCTTTTCCGTTTCGGTTTCTTTTGAAAAATAGACAGTGTTTTTTCATTCTTTTGAATGTATATATATTTATATATAGTATATAACTCTATTTATATATATATATATACATATAGAAAAGTATATGTATATATACATATAGAAAAGAACATCTTTATTGAAACAAAAACAAATGTTTAAGTATACGCATATATATATAGATTAAACAAAAAACAAACAATAAGAAAACTTACGCATTCAAAAATGTTTAAATATTCTCAAAATTTTCAAACTGTCCATAACTAATGTCTTTTCAAAAAACTACAATAAAAATAGAAAACCTACTTGTTTTTTTTCATCAGCTCGCGCAACCATAGGCCCCGAAACGTTTTTGTCCCCGACACTATTCTTGAAATTTATGCGGCTGTGGTCTCCAGGCCAGGGCTCAGCTATACCACATACCCCCTCTTCCAAGCTTATGCTGTGGAAGGGTGGTGGCTGGACAACTTCCTCAAGCGGGGCAAGCTGACCCGCCAAACCTACCTGACCCTTGGCCGCCAGGTCACGGTAGGGTTCCAAAAGAAGTTGGCGGATTGCAAGGCAGCTGAGAGGTTCTTGCGAGACGAGGCGGTGCACGAGGCTGTCAGTGCGGCGGGACAAGCCTTGGCACCAACCAGGCTGCCAATGAGAGTTTCCCCCGAAGTGGAGGCCCGGGTCAGTTTGTTTTGGGGAAGTTTTGAGTTTGGCAACATATAACGGCTTTTCCTGCAATGGCCATACTATGTCCCAGGACTTCATTGGGTGTCACGATGGGTCGCCTCGGTTTCCTGCCCAGTGCTGGCTATCGTGGGTGGCACGCGGCTTGGCAAATCAATGCTTGCCGCCGACATCCTGGGCCGCATTGCGCGCCAGCTTGGGTTGCCTGGGTTTTTGGAGGTGGGCACGGCCGAAAAAGAATTGGTTTCACAAACCCAGCATTGAACCATTGACTTGGAAATTTAACTAAATTACTTTAGCTGATGCCAGGTGACAGTCGGGGAGAGTGAGCAGATGGACTTAGCCCTGAGGCTTTGCAGGGGCGGCAGGAGGCGCTAAAGAGCGCAAAATCAGCCACGAATGTGTACGCATACACGTACTCCTTTTGTGGCCGGGCTGCTGTTGCCACTTTGGACCTTTCTGCCGAGAATGTGGAGGCTTTTCATGAAGACCACTGGCTGCGCAATCGTGACAATGTCATGTACCTAAAGCTGCAAGAGCCTGCGTACATCCTTGATGCTGCTGCTGCTCCCGCTGTCTCCCCTGTCTGAGTGCGCGAGAACAAGCGACGGTGGATGGGATCGCCGAGCAGCGTCGCAAGCGTTTTTGTTTGATGCGGATCGATGCTGATTAAAAGACGGCTTGCTGCTTCCTGCCACGTTGGAGTTGAAACTGCTGCGTAGCAGCGGGCCCTTGACAGTTGATCGGCTCTTGGCTCCGCTCGGGTGAGGTCGTGCCATCTTCATATTTGGAAGGTGGTGCAATTGGGAGCATCCTTACACCTGTATGTTCGTTGAAAACTGGAACGCGTAGCGAAACCGTGTGAAAACATTTGGAACCTCATTTCAGTCATTTTCTAGTTTACCACCCCCGTAGTTATTGGGTACGATTGTTTTAGCGCACGCTATACACGCACATATACACACACGCATGTGCAGGGATATGCTCTGTTAAGTTGGACATACCGGACTTATGAAAGGACATAGGGAAGGTAATTATACCCTTTGTATCTTTTTTTGCGTCTAATTTTCAATTTGTCATGTGATTCTGGCAAGCTCCGTTGTTTTTTTCCGCTGCATGTCGCTTGTTGTCTTTGATCTCGACATGCGAAGGTTTATAGCAAAAGGCCTCACCATCATTATTCAGGAAACGCAAAACAAGAACACATACACGCTTCCTAACCGGATAGTGGTAGGAGATGGAAACACAATCGCGTTCCCTTGCCATTTTGATTTTTTTAGGCGGAAACACATTCGCCTGACATGCGCGTTTCCTGATTTTTGGTGGAAACACATCCTAAAGTGTTAACATCCTAAAGTGTTAAGTTGGAAGAGGCTTTGCATAGATGTGGGAACACATTTTTAACACGTACGCGTTTACAACCCTTGTCCGGTCACTATGTGGAAACATTTGCAGCTGCAGCCATGCTTCCCTCGAAATTGCGATTCACCTAAGCAGAAAATGGCCCTGCCATAAAAACCATCGGTTTCCTGGCCACAAACATGGCTATATTTGATAATTTGTTTGTATTTTTTGAAAATAAATCTCCTATTTGATGTTATATTTCCCTATCTATAATCTATAATTTAAGTTTAACATGGCCTTTACAAGTTAACTTCATGTAGGTTTATTTTCTTAAACCAAATTATAAAATTACATACACAACATGAAAAAACAATGCAAAAAAAACATGTATGGACCGTACGAACCATTTTATCACATGATATGAGGAATCATACACGTTTGGTTATGTTTTGGGATGAGGGTGACCTATATTGCAAATCCCACTGAAAATGGGTTATGAACCATGAACTATCCGCTCACATAGATAACGTTAGATAACATTGTGACGTCCGATTTTTTTTACTGAATAATTCGGGGCCACTTTTTGTCGTTCTACTTTTTCTGCGAAACTAATGCCATTGGGGGGCTCGACATAGAGTCATCCTGGAGTAGATAGAATATTTTTTTTTGCGGTGCAATAACTTCACACACATTACTTTACGTCAAGACATCCCCACCCTGACACAGTATTCAGATGTAGTTTTTGAAATACCATCTGGAAGTATATATTATATGGCATAAATGCAAAAATGGCATATAATATCATATATGTATAGCAATAATCATCAACACAGTAATAATCTTAAATCATCTTAAATCAATATATATATATATTTATACACTTATTTTTAGATAGATACAATCTGACATTCCGTCTGGCATTCTTTCTGGCATCTATTCTGACATCCTGTTTGGCGATATGGTGTTCGGGTCCAGGCGGGCCGAGCTGGCGGTCTGGAGTTGCTAAAGTCGACCCTCACCTGGCAGGTGGGGAATGAACATGTGCAAATGCTTCAACAACCAAATCCTATCTACTTCACAATAATTACATATATTGTCTATTCTATTCTATTCTATTCTAATTTATTCTATTCTAATTCTATTCTATTCGATTCTATTCTGTTCTTATTCTCATTCTAAGTCTATTCTATTCGATTCTATTCCTTTTTATTCTTTTCTATTCTATTCTTTTCTATTCTATTCTACTCTTTGCTATTCTACTCTTTGCTATTCTATTCTATTTCTATTTCTATTTCTATTTCTATTCTATTCTATGCTTTTCTTAATTTTTCTCTCTAAAATTCATTTGTTTGTGTATGAATATATATATATATGTATATATATATATATATTTGCATATATATATGCATATATATATATATATGTATATATATATATATCAATATAAACATAAATATCAATATCAATATATATATATATATATATCAATATCAACATAAATATCAATATCAATATATATATATATAGTTATTTATTTTTAAAATATTGGAAATATTTGTCCACTTTTAGGGCATATGCTGACGACTGAGGACACTTCGGATGCCAACAAACTGTGCATCCGTCGTCAGGAAGCTGTGCGCAAGGAGGTGGGTCGATGTGTCCCGTGTTTCGTCGCTTGTCGTCACTTGGTTTATGGCATACATGGTCAACTATGGAAACTAACATAACTATGGAAAATCATTATTTTTAATTGGGAAATCAACTATAAATGGCCATTTTCAATAGCTATGTTAAATTACCAGAGGGTACATGGCCCATTTAGTTCGATGATTTTTTTTGATGGTTATTTATTTTTCAAAACGACCATGTAACAAATTTCCAGAAGGGTTCTTTTTTGTTGTTTTGTGTTTCCCATTTATTTAGCGTTTTATGGAAATGTGTGTCAGTTGTTTTCAGTATTCACCAAACGATCCACCTTATCCCAATTTCCATGGCCACAGGTGGTTGCTACCAATTTCATGTGGGACACTGCGCAGGGATTCTCAACAGAGGCTGCTATGAGATAGCGGCATGGGTCTGAAGTGTTCATGCACGGCATAGCCATGGTATAGATGGCCCACAGAAATAGATGGATTTTCACAGCTATAAACCTCCATTTATGGTTGGGATTTTCCATGGCTATGTTAAATAACTTGTTGTGTGTACATTTTTTTGTTTTCTGAATGCTCCATGATGGATCAATTTTTGTGAAAATATCAGTTAAGGGTTGATATTTGATCGTTTTCATGATTGCTATGTTTCTAAGGGTATCTACCAAACATGTTTTTTTGTAAATATTGAATCACATTTATTTTACTATGTAAGATGTTGACGGTGATTTACCTGTTCAACAACCATAGAACACTTTATATTCGATCGAATTTACTTCCAACAAATGATGCAAGTCTGCAACTCTGCACTTTTAAACATCTTCTGCATTCTCAAAAACCATAGTTATAGTTATTATAATATATTGATGATAGTTTTACCTGTTCATTTCATGTTTTTCTTTTGCTGAGGTTGGTCATGGCGGGCCTGACGTGGTGGTCCTTCCGGAGGCCCCCATGGCCCCAAACACGGCCATGGGAGATCAATGGAGACTGATAAATGATGGTGAATTGGTAAGGGGGGATGGTACTAACCAATATCAATGGGGATTATACTCCATGAACGGAGAATTCCTATTAAGAAACGAGTATACCTTCTATTCATGGCCATGAAACATGGGGAAAATGATGACTAAGCAGTAAAATTTAGAAGACCATGTTTCAGACAAACCCACATGGAGATAATATGGTGATACTGTGGATGGAAGAGATCCTGCATCAGTTTGTAGATGGGCAACATCCCATTAGAATCCCATTATTTCCAGTGTCTTATATAGTTATCAATAGTTATAACAACTTGTACAGGATTTTTCCAGCCACAGCATAACTTGCGCAATAATGAACGTAATTTCTGGGGCCACACTGAGAATATCATTGATGTTGATAAAATCGCTGGATTTTGCATGGGATCCAACTTTTTGTTTGGTGATTTTTGGTATGGGGGGTTGTCTGAGTCAGTGGTGAAAAAACAAAAGCAATTTGATGGCCATTTTAGTGAGGCGCTATAGTTATGATATGTTATAATCTATTAGAGACACTTGGATGAAACATCTAATATAGACAAACTGGTCCATACAAATCAACAAATCTTAAACATAAATAAATATAGGTTACATGTATATAATACATTATATCATTATATATTTCATCCTGACTTTTGACTACCATCGGTTATTACCCTCTGGTAAATTAACATAGACCCTGAAAATCACCATTTTTTAGAGGAAACTAATCTTCCAACCCCTATCTACCAGGGTCTATGTTAATTTACTGGAGAGTATATTTGAATATATTTGATATCCGTATATTTATGCTAATGCAAACCAGTCAAGTAGGATTTGTTTATCTATACCTTTGGTATGAATTACCCTCCATTAAATTAACATAGACCCGACCAGATAGGGGTTGGAGGATTAGTTGCCACTAAAAAATGTGTATTTTCAGGGTCTATGTTAATTTACTGGAGCGTAAAAGGTGACTATTCACCTTGTTGATAGAAACATGTCATCAATGATGTAATCAACTCGTGGTAAAGCGAACGGTGAACGGTAGGTTTGTGGCAGAAGTTGAGCCAGACTGATTCCTGTGGAAATTGAACATTTTTTCCCTTTTTTTGAAGTTTCAGAGGCCTCGTCAGGAAATGGTTTTCTAGCTCCTTGAGTAGATACAAAACTCTGTTGAGTCCCCTTGATTTTTTTTGAATTTCCCAGTGTCAGAGAATCCTGCTACTCTATTAATTCATATGATATGGGGTATTCTCATGTATTCCCCATACCCCATCATTTACCCCCCATTGTTGGGTTGTTGGGAACAAATGAGTAGTGAGAACTCCACAAGACACAAATATTATGTAAAAAGAAATAGTGAGAACTCCGCAAGACATATTATGCCCTAGGCGTAGGCTACCTCATGCAATGGCGTAGGCTCGGCGTAGACTCCATAGCGCAGGTTATATGTTACTGGTCATCGAAAGACAAGGATTAAAAACACTACTAAAATGCCAAATATTTCTCATATCCCACTGTCTCCCCCAGGTACAACTACCAATCGCGCTTGGTGGCCTTGCCCTTCATCTTCTACGGTCCGGAACTGAATGACCTGATAAAATCCCGGCAAACCACTGGAAGTAATGAACCAAATAAGGGGAGACTTGGAAGGTTAGACTTCAAACATAGATGTGGAGTTTACCCACCATTTCTAGATCAGTTTCAAGCTAAAACCCCCATGGGTTTTCCACATCTTTTTGTAAACGTTTGCGCATTCGGGTACGCTTTAAACTTGACCAACCAAATTAATTAGTATTCGAAAAATGACCAAACTGGGGATGGAACTTCAACCGGTTGAGTATGGTTGAGTCATGGGGTGGGAGGCTCATTTTCTTCCGCGCAGCGTCATTGTTTGCCAACGTTTAACGTGGATCCTAATTCAAAGGCATCTGGTCCCAAGGTTGCTATTTGCTATTGAGGCTGGTGAAGTATGGTGGAATTTTCCACTGCAAGCCATAAGTTGCCCAACGGAAAGTGAAACGCCTGGAAAAGGACCAGTTTAGTCATTGCAAAACAGAAATACAAGATGGAGCAGCTCAAAAGAAACAAAGAGCATATTTAACATCATTGGTTTATCATGTGTGTTTATTGTTTTTTTCATGTTGTTCATGGCAAAAAATCATTGTAATTCATGGTAAAAACTCGTAGTTCATCATCATGTTCCCTCTTCCTTCGCCATCAAAATGGGGACCACACGTTTCGGTCGCGAGCCACGTGAGGTGGCACCTTCGTTGGTTGGAAACCTCAGAAATGGCTTCGCACGGAATCGCGGAAGTCGACGCGTTAGAACAGTTCACGACTGGTGAATTCATGGGTTAAAAATCAGCCATTAATGGTTAATTACTATTATATGATATATGATCGAAGGAAGTTTAGAAGTCAAACTTCCGACAATATGGGCAGATGAAAAGCAGAGCAGGGCAGAGGCAGAGAGAAGAGGAAGATTAGAAGAGAGAAGATCAGAAGAGAAAGAGTCAGGAAGAAAGAAGATGCAGATGCGCGAAAAGGTAGGAAAGTCGCGAAACACTGTGTTTTTCCAATGATTTGGGGCTCCGGAGGGTCGAAAAGTAGGCTCGCTAAAGCGGCGGGTGCGGAGCAAGCTGGCCAGATGAGAGATGAAAAATTGCACGCCGTTGTGGCGCGAAGCACATTTCCAAGTCAAAATGTACAAAACACACCAGGTTCGGACACTTTTGGAAGTTGAGATGTCGAAAAAGTGCACGCCGTTGTGGCGCGAAGCACATTTCCAAGTCAAAATGTACAAAACACACCAGGTTCGGACCACTTTTGGAAGTTGAGATGTCGAAAAAGTGCACGCCACTGTGGCGCGAAGCAGATTTCCAAGTCAAAAGTGTTAAAAACTGACGGTCTCGGACCACTTTTGGAGGTTCAGATGTCGAAAAAGTGTCAAAAAAGTGCACGCCGTTGTGGCGCGAAGCACATTTCGAAGTTAAAAGTGTAAAAAACTGAGGGTTTTGAGCCTTTTTTGACGTGAAGATGTCGAAAAAGTAGACACTGATCAACTTAACTAACTTGACTAACTTAACTAACTTCACTAACTTAACTACCCTAACTTCGACGACAACAGCAACAGCAACAGCAACAGCAACAGCAACAACAACAACAACAACAACACCAACCACAACAACTACAACTACAACAACTACAACAACTACAACTACAACAACTACACAACAACTACAACTACAACTAGAACTACAACTACAACAGCTACAACAACAACAGCAACAGCAACAGCAAAGCAAACACACAACACAACAGCAACAACAACAACTACAACAACTACAACTACAACTAACACTACAACTACACAACAACTACAACTAGAACTACAACTACAACAACTACAGCTACAACAACAACTACTACTACTACTACTACTACAAACAGCACTACAACTACAACAACAACTACTACTACTACACTACACAACAACTACTACAGCTACAACAACAACAACTACAACTACAACTACACTACTACAACTACACTACAACTACAAAACAACTACAGCTACAACCATATGACTGCAACTACACTACACTAATTACATTACACCACAACTACAACTCCACTACGCTACAACTACAACTACAGTTGCAGTACATCACACTACATCCAGCAGTTGTGGGTGAGGTGACCACTGCAACCATTGCAACCATTCCAGCAAACACAACTCCAACCACTTTTCGGTCAATCAGTGGATTCGCTCTGCCATCCGTGATTCACAACAACCAACGTCTCCTATAGGTTTCCTATTCTGAAACTTCCGCCACCGCCTTGTGCGGTACTACTGGTATATGATGATATATGCTGATATTAATGTTATATTGATATGTAATTCTGTATTATATTGTATGTACCATCTGGTTATGACTAACATAGCCATGGAAAGATCCACCATTTTTAAGTTCGGTAAACCATCTATAAAGGGGCCATTTTCCATGGGTATGTTAAATAACCAGAGGGTAACAATGGTCAAAAAACAACAAACATTATTTTAGCAATTTAGCAATGGTTAACAATGGTGCTAGAAATAGCTAGAAATCAACAAACATTACGGGGCCTCACTTTGGTCAATATATCAATTGGAATATTGCTGGACATATGATGAAAATGGATGAAATATGGGGAATTCAACAGGAAGCAGCAAATCATCACTGTGCATGTTGAGTTCGGTCAATGGTTTGACCGCTAGTTCTCGCAGCTTCCGTCCAGCTGTGTAGCAATGACCAGTTGACTATGTACCTAGTTTGGTCAGGTTGAAGTTTGGTGCGATTTATGGACATTGTGCTGTTTGTCTACAATAGATATGGGTCAAGAAAAAAACCTAACATATTCCAAAATATCATGTTGAACATCCCAACATATCCCAACATATCCTTCTGATTCTGAACATCAAAAGATTCCACAGATGGCAGGAAAAAAAAACAAATGTCCGTCGAGGTCGTGCGATTGGTGATATGGTGACAGGCGTGCAATTCAACTCGTCGTCGCGACATCGCGCGAAATGGGATCTGTTTTTCGTTTGGTAATTGAGTTACCTTGGTGAATATAGTCTATAGAGGTAGCTGGTAAATATACCAATGCTAATACTGGTTGGTTGTTTGGAACATGTTTGTTTTTCCCATATATTGGGAATAATCATCCCAATTGACTTTCATATTTTTCAGAGGGGTTCAAACCACCAACCAGCTGATATCAAGTTTTCCCGTTGTTTCCCCAACCCCCATGGTCTTTCCGTTCGCAAAACATGGTCTTTCCGTTTTTTTTTTTGCGCTGAAATACAGGTCCTGCAAATTTTCACCCGGGTAAACCATGTTAAACCATCAAATAGAAGGGTTTACAGTTATGGCCATTCATTAGTTATACGTGAATATAACCGGGATTATACATTTCATAAATGGATAATGGGGTTATAAGTACTTATGACTGGTAAAGGGCCAAAACTGTACAAAGTGGGGCCCCCTAGATAGCTAAGTTGGTTTATAACTCCAATAACTATGGTTTATGGTACCTATAACTATAGTATTCCTGGGGTTTATAAACCATCTTATAACTGAGGGGGCCCCACATTGTAGGGGTTTACCTTCACCGTTTCAACCCCTAACCCCCAACCGTTGCGCCGAACTTCGGTTCGCCAACATGGCGAAGCGCGCAGGTCGCAACGCCGAGTTCGCCCGGGATCGATTCTTGGCGTCGCTTCCGGCCAAGGTGCCAGCCCGAGAAGATCATATCTGATACCCTCTGGTAAACTAAGATAACTATGGAAAATCACAATTTTTCATGGGAAAATTCACTATAAATGGTGATTTTCCATAATTATGTTAAATTACCAGAGGGTATCATATCATTTCATTTCATATCACATCATATCATATCATGTCATATCATATCATATATATATATATATATATATACAGATGCTATAGGAGTTATATATATAGATAGATAGATATAGACTATATAGAGCCTAACAGTACGTGATATGTGTGGTGATTGAACATGTTATTGGAATGGGTCAAGAGTCACATACATACTTTGTTTTCCATATGAAGGGGGTTGGATTCCAGCGGTATCCAGACCTTCGAAGTGAGAACTGATGGGCCGCTGGGCCTTACAAGTGTCTTGATGACTACATGTTGTTTCAAATAATGTATTATTGTTATGTAATATAATATAATATAATATAATATAATATAATATATATTGCTATCATCGTAGTAGCGTTAACATAGCTTTTGGAGTTTCCAGGTCAGAACTGACAAAACCTGGTGATCAGAGCATGGCTGGATTTGACTTCATTAACAAATACCATCACAAGTGGTGATCGGAGCATGGCTGGACTTGATCACATCGAAGTATACATATCGAAATGAATTATCAGATTGTGATACGATTTTATGTTTTCAATTTGATTTTACCCCAACATCGTGATCATTTGATGTTTTCAATATGATTTTACCTCAACATTGTGATGCATTTGATCAAGCCGGATTAAATAATGATACGATTTGATGTCAAAAAGATATTTAGCATTTCATCATTTGATGAAAGAACCCTGGGCTACTCCTAACGGGGCTATTCATAAAACTTGCTATCCTTTCCACAAAAAACGAGACAATTCCAGGAAAAAAACATAAAAACATCTAAAAAGTCAAAAAAAAATATTCAAAATTCAAAAAAAAATAAAAAAATGGAAAAACTGCAAAAAAACGGTAAAAAAACACGAGAAAAAGAAAGCGGGAGTGAAGCGGGAGTGAAGCGGGAGCGAAGCGGGAGCGAAGCGGCAGGCAAGAAAACCATGGAAAACCGTGAAAAAACGTTGAAATCATCGAATCCGCTTCGTTCCCGCTCCGCTCCCGCTTCGTTCCGGCTCCGTTCCCGCTTCAAGCCCGTGGAGTCTTAACGCTACCATGATCATTTCAATGTCTAGGTGCCAAGGGTTGTTGCCACGGAAAAATCACCAGAAAACACGCGTCGTGTATCAAGGTCAATTTACGCACCAAAAAATTCACCAAGTTGTTGCCACCAAAAAATCACCATGAAACCCGAGGAGTGTTAACGCTACCATGATCATTCCAAAATATATATATATATATTGACTCACTTCAGTTCCGAAACTATATCCAAGTCGGATTTGTTGGTAGAGTGCTAAGCCCTTGAATCCAAGTACCTTCTGCGGGTATGTTTGTGGCATGATTTGGCGGTCCTGTTGTATCATTGCGGCGTTTGGATTCACACGAACTACATGGAAACTAGTCAGTAGCTGATTGATAGCTGATAAACAATCCCCATGTTCAGCTGCCATAATATTTAATGTCATTGTTTTTTTTTCTGAACCAAAACATAACTATACCAACATGTCATTGTTATCAGTGTTATCTTTGTAGTTATTGGTTACCATTGGTTACCAATATGTTATTTCCACTGGTTGGTGGTTTGGAACATTTTTTATTTTCCATAATATATGGAATAATCCTTCCCATTGACTTTCATATTTTTCAAGATGGTTGAAACCACCAACCAGATATTATATATATATGTCCCAGTTATAAGTTGGTTTATAAGCCCCAGTAAATATAGTTATAAGTATCATAAACCATAGAAATTGGTTACCATTGAAATTCCCAATCTGTACCGGTTACAGAAACCTCCTGGATTGCGTCTCCTATTTCTCTGGACTATAAATAGTGACCGTCGCTATTTTTCGAGATCCACTTGCCGGGGGGGAAATATAGATCTTTGAACCATAAATACCTAAAATGCATCTTACTAGTTATACATATATATATATATACATATTATACATAGAATTATGATTATATATACATATATACACATAGATATATTACGACTATTTCAGAATTTCAATCTAACATAGTGTGTACTTGGTCGTTAACTTATACTTCAACCACTTCTCAACCAAAGATCAGTTAGCCGCCCCGGTTCAGCCGCGCCAGGTCTACTATAACTGAGTGCCACGCAGCCGCGCAGCGGTCAACGCAGCGGTCAGTCGTTTCCGGTGGTACGGCATGGGCCTTGAGAAAAAAATGGGTATGGGTCAATACCTATAGATACCATTTTTAGTGGGATGAACATCCATAAATCCCAGCTATTTTGATGTGAACTACAGGGGTACTATTGGTTTTGACACACTGCCAAATGTCTATGGAATTGGGAATACCATGGAAATATAGTGAGTAATCCCATGATACATCTCCAACAATGAGGCGACTTTGCCATGGATTGCCATGGATTGCCATGGTCAAGTTACAAGGTGGTGATCCCATAGTTAGCTAAGTTGGTGAACATAACTCCAATAACTATGGTTTATGATACTTATAACTATAGTTACTGGGGTTTATAAACCATCTAACATCACTGGGGGGCCCCACATTGTAGTTGAATTCTATACCCAATCCTTGTGTATTCGGAAGGCATGGCTGTGAGATCCCGTGTAAGGTACCGAGGTTTTAGGGGAACCTACAGGAGCCCTCTGTGTCTAATCCATAGGTTTCCCCCGATCCCAGAAAACCCACTGTAGACAAAAGAATGAACATATACCCATGATTTTGGGACTTGCAATTTTCAATGGCAATTTCAGGAACCTCAATTGCAGTTACCTACGATTTTTTTGAGGCCTATATAAGGCTTATGTAAGGGAATATCCCAACAACATATGGCCTTATATGGTACAGTACCTCCATTTCAGGATATTTTAGGATACTGAAATTCCCATTGAAATTTTCATGAGTACTTGCAAGCCAGTTTTTGTTTAAGTAAGCCGCACTCCGCTGCGTGTAGAGAGCTATGTTTCTTCAGGTTCAGCGCAGCGCAGGTTGGACAACGGTTGTGACCTGCAGAAAACATCAATGGCCCAACGAAAACACCACATGAAAGTGTTTGGATTTTGTGATGTTCATCTATGTTCCAAGTCCAAATCAAGTTTGAGCACAGAGCCAGCTTGGACGTCTTGAACCCTATCTTGGAGTGCTGTTTGGGGTTATTTATGAGTACAAACATTGTGATAACCACTATAAGTTGAGATATCAGCCCTATAACTATGGTTATATGTACGTATATTTTATAATGATGTATATAAATAGCAGGAACTTCATCCCAAGTACTGAGTTACTTTGTTTTTGGTGCTTTTATGGCATAGATATTTGGATTGGGCAGGTCAGTCAGGATTCAGGGCAAGCGTTTCGCTACGACGCTACGCACTGTTTTGATGGATTGCTGCAACCCGAGCTACGCTACTATCAGCTGTACTATCATAAATGGTGATTTAACCACTATAAATGGTGATTTCATGGTGATTTTCATGGTTTAAGAATGGGTTAACGTTGGTGAATAATGGGATGATATGGGATTTATCCTCTGGTAATGACTAACATGACTATTGAAGCCATGGCCCATAGAAATAGTTGATTTACCCAGCTATAAAATGGTGATTTTCCATAGTTATGTAAACGTTTACCAGAGAGTATGAATTTTAGATTGGGCCTGGGTATCACCAATTGACTGTAGGAATGTAGCAAAGACTTTTGTGGTTTTCTAGATCTTTGATACACGTTGATCCTCAAATCAACTCTTGGAATGTGTAACACATCAATAGCTGCTTCAATTTGTCACAGTATTCCTGGGGCGCATTTTCGGTCTTCCATTTGAATCACAACGGGCCTTCGGGCGCCGTTTGAAATATGACCTTGCCGGCTCCAATCGGCCGCGGTTGCAGCATCTCTTGTTTAGCGAGATAAATTGGGCCGTCAAAAAGAGGATGCAGCATGCAGCAGAATCCCAGTTGCCGGAACCGCTGGGTCGGAATCCCCTCTGGCTTAATGAATGTTAGTGTGTGCGAACTGGAAGCCATGGCCCATCTAGTGAGAAATGATTTTCCTACTAAACATGGTGAGTGTCCATGGCTATGTTGAATTATCAGAGGGAATGTATAAATACGTATGAATTTGGAATAGGAAAGAAATGGATGTGAATTAAAATATAAGCTCAGTACCCCTATGCAGGAACAATTTTTAAATTTAGATATTTGGGGATGGGACAATGACAGGAAGCATGCCTCTTTGTGCAATAAACCATCCGCAATTGGGTGCATTATCGGGATACCCCCTAACATGGGATGATGGAACTCTCAAATGGTTGGTTTAAGGGATGGTTTATAATTAGTTTATCACATTAGATCATGACAGTTTTAGTTCTGCTGTTGGCTTGGCTGAGAAAAACGACTGTAATCTTCGTTGCCACACCAAAAACAACACCTTCGAAGTGTTTGCTTGCCACAACCATGGTTGTATGCCTTACGACCATAACCCCAGAAGCAGATACTTGGGGCCTTACGAAAGGTGGTCACCCTGAAAAAGTACCAGGAAGGTGTGACTTGTTCAATCGCCCGAAAGATGAACGAGAGGTGTTTTTGTTGACCAAATTAGCCTCTGGTTATGACTAACAGTTTGCCATGGGAAATGGCCCATAGAAATAGATGGCTTTAATAGCATGGTGATTTTCCTTGGCAAACTGTAATAAAGAACCAGATAACCAGATGGTAATCTGTCTGATTCGAACGATTTGAAGCTGTTGTTTGAACATTATTGAACAAAATATGTTTGAGTTCCGTAAAAGATGGAGAGAAAATGACATGACTGAACTTATGAACCCATCTCATTTGTATTCATTTGTCCTATTTGACTCTATTTGCCTGTTAGGAGATTTGTCCATAGCTTTCATCAAGGGTCCATCATCAATGTGTTTTGTTTGCCCTATTATTTGATAATGTTCGTTGATAAGCTGATAATAAACCTCATTTGTTGATCATGGCGTTGTTGATTCACAACCTCCCATCTTGAAATTCACAGTAATGAATCATACTAAATCTAGAATCCAGTCTTTAACCATGCCCTAATGCTGCAACAGTAGAAGTACCCTCTGAGAAGGTGTTTAGGCCCCAAACACCAATCCAAATTAACCAGTCTCAAAAGGTGTTTGGAGCCCTAGGGATGGTTATGTTGGACTATCAGGAACTATATATTACTCTCTGGTTATTTATCATATTTTAACATAGCTATGGAAAACGGATGAACACCGCCCATTTAGTTGCATGGATATGACATACTGTAACATATTATAACATAACCATGGAAAACGGCCCCAATTTAGTTCCATGGATTTATGATTTACTCTCTGGTTATTTGTTACATTTTCCATGTATTTCTATGGGCCATCTATACCATGGCTATGTAACAAATATCCAGAGGGTAAATCATAAAACCATGGAAAGATCCACCATTTTGAATAGGTAAACCATCTATTTCTATGGGCCATCTATACCATGGCTAACTGTTAGTCATAACCAGAGGGTAAATCATCAAACATGGGCGCCAGGTACTCGCCCCACGGCTCGGATTTGACGCCCTTCTCCTTCGCCGGGCGCACCACACAGAGCCCCATGTACTCACCAGTGGCCTAGCTGCATCGACCTTTAGGAGGGAGCTCCATGGGATACCCCAAAAAAACGTTTGAGACCTGAGATTTCCAAGGTCCAGCATTTACCATCTGGTTATGACTAACAGTTTGCCATGGAAAGATCCACCATGCTATTAATAGGTAAACCATCTATTTCTATGGATCATCTATACCATGGCTATGTAGCAAATAACCAGATGGTATAATGTGAAGATTGTGGAAGAATCTGTGAACAGATGGCATTTAGAACATGTTCCCTGCAACCCTGACGTTGCGCCGCGTCTGACTTCAGGTGGCTATGAAGATAAAGTTGATGTTATTACCCCAATCAACATATTGTTCATAGGGGATGGCGGATTTTGATCCCTCATGGAGATATAGTTGATGTTATTATCTCAATCAACATATTGTTCATAGGGGGTGGCGAATTTTGACCTCTCATGAAGATAAAGTTGATGTTACCAGTATTACCCCAACCAACATATTGTTCATAGGGCGTGGCAAATTTTAATATGATGATGATCATGATGTGATGATGTGATGATGTGATGATGTGATGATGTGATGATGTGATGGTGATGATGATGTGATGATGGTGATGATGATGGTGATGATCATGATCATGATCATGATCATCATGATGATCATGATCATGACGATTGTAAGTGTGGAACAACGTCCGGGTTGGGGCGGACATATTTTTACTGTGAAAATTATGAAGAACACAAGTGAAGATTTGATGCAAATGGAGTGCAAATGGTCTGTATAGTCTGTATATGGTGTGTATTACAAATACACAATTTCTGAAAGATATGGTAATTGAACAGCCAAGTTCCACCACGTCTTTTCGCGACAATCCAACGGGAGGCTTGCCAGCCATTCAGATAACGTGGCGGATCTGTTATGATCTGAAGTCGTTGCCCCTCCAAGTAGATCCAATGCATGGGATAATATACCCATTAGAAAAGGGACTGTTGTTAATTACAGTTGTATGTTATATCATATCATATCGCCATTTTCACAAGTACTTGGAAAGTCTATGAACAAACCACGGTCCGTTCCATCTCCGGATGTTCTAGCTTAGGGCCCAGACAAGAAGGAGGAAGACGACAAGGAAGACAAGGCGTCGCAACGCGATGGCGCTTTCGGGACCTACTTAGATGGGCCATGGAGTTAGTTAACTAGTTAGTAACTGGATTATTTCAGTGGGATTTTTTTGGGGGTTATACCTATCCCCAGGTACTAACCATGAATCGCGTTTATCCCATGGCCCATCTAAGTATATGTTTTTTCATGATTTTTCCATAGATTACCCTCTGGTAAACATTTACATCACTAACATCACCATTTTATAGCTGGGTAAATCCACTATAAATCACCAGCGATGGTCCCCATTGACGTCCTTTTTCTGGCGCTGTGGCGATTTCACCCAGGACGCCGATGGTCCCAGTGCCGCCTTTGACAGCGGCTACTCTCCCGGGCGCGGAGCCGCGGGGGCGAAGAGTTGAGATCCTTTGGTGATCGCGTTTTGAAGCAATAAAGATGGGAGTCTGAGTCATCTACAAGTCACATCTAAAACCCCAGATTTGACATGTTAGTTGTCTACAATTCATGATATTTTACTCATTTCCCAGAATTGGATGACATCTAAAACCCCATATTTGACTATAAAAATCTTTAGAATTGGATGAAAAAAAAAGAAATATATATATATACTCATTTCTCAGAGGATGAAGGGAACAGTTCATAGGAAACATCAGAAACCATGTTGTTTCTCTGTATTTTTTTTTTTTACACTGTTCCTGCAAAACCAAGCCAAAGGTTTTTTCTTTAACAGCTCCCCCTTTGCAGGAACTCGTTTGGTGAAGATCCACGAACAATCAGGGTTTGTGGTTCTTTGAAGGGCAACAACTAGTGTGTAATTCGTGGGTTTGAGGTGGTCAGTTGCATGCCCTATTGTTTGGGGGATTGGTCAACATCTACACCCTCAATTGTAGGGTCTATCGATGGTCTCTCGGTGCCAAGTGTGCGGTCTCTAGTCACTCTAGTCGACACTCACCGTGTATACAGCATAACATGTTTCCTTCGAGGATAGCAACATCTAGAAAACACGGGGTCCTCTAATTCTGCCCTTCAATCAGTCCATTTTTTTCTTCATCTGAGTCTGAGTCGATCAAATGATTTGTGTCACTTCTTAAAACTCATTAAACCACCATGTTTCTTAACATTGGTTAAGAAAAAAACTGTTGGCTAAAGCACCATCTCTGTTGGATATCCATGAATCGTTCCCCTCTGTCCCATGACCACGCGCCCTCCAGTGCCTCCATTTACTCTGGGGCCAAGAGTGCCTATACCATGGCAAGTCTGGGGGCCTGGTGTCCATGACGTCATGTGGCTATCTCCACATCCAAGATCTGGATGACCATGACTTAGTATTGAAAGCGATGGTGACAACTGGGGATCCCCCCAATTCACCCAAGTCACCCTCTGGTTATTTGTTACAGTTCGCCATGGAAAGATCCACCATTTGTAATAGGTAAACCATCTATTTCTATGGGTCATTTATACCATGGCTATGTTAAATAACCAGAGGGTATGTATATATATATAGATATAGGTCCATACTAGCAAACTTATTGTTGTGGTAATTATTAATTTTAATGGTTGGGGATACTCTCCGCTACTCAACCATGGCTTGCTGGAAAATCCACCATTTAGCTGGATGCTTTTTCCCAGCTGGAAACCTTCATTTGGCTCGGGGAGTTTCCAGCCAGCCATGTTTGATTACTAGAGGGTAACCATAAACCAATACAATTTATGGCATAAGCATAACATGGAGGACAATGGCATTATATAGAAATATGATGAAATACGATGAAATATGTATAATATACAATAATATATATATATATATTATTGCCACTATTACTATATTATTACCACTATTACTAGTATTGTCACTATTATCAATATTTATGTATATATATATAAGGAAATAATTTTGAGCTTTCAATGGCTTATTGATACCATTTGTCATATTAGTAAATGTAATTTGATGTAGTGTTTCGTATTGTAGCCACAAACAATAAGGGTGACAATTTCGCAAGTCCTCTTCTTTCCGAGGTGTCCAAAGTGGATTGTTTTATAGAAACGTTTGACCCGTAAATAATGGAATATCCGAATATCCAATGTTTTTGACTGTTTACCACCATAATCACAGTGACATCACAGGAAATCATATCATCATTGTTTGGGTTAGTCTATTTTTGGACAACCGGGTATTTGCTTGGATGCCGGCGACGACGGAAATATATCTGGCTTCATTGCGGAATGGTTTTTGTTGATCCTAAATATGTTTGTGGCCGTTGTTGATCCTAAATATGTTTGTGGCCCTGATAACAAATTACCTTCAAATATTTGACATATATGGAGGTTTTATCTATTAACCATGATGACTATCCATAGCTATGTTAAATTACCGGAGGGTATATGTTGGGAGAGAATTTGCTTCCTGTACCTCTCCATTTCCCACCACAAATGTCATCCCAAATCTGTGAGGTGGGCGATATACTGCAGGCTATACGCCGAAGAGTGGCGTGTGGGGAGCTCGGTTGCGCTGTCCAGTGCTGAAGAAATGGTACCGCTTCCTGGTTGGTAGACCCAAGAATTAACACGCTCGCCTCCCCTTTTACCCGAATTGGGTTGGATCAGCAATTCCCACTAGTTGTTTATTTTGGATTTCCACATTGCGGGGACCTTGTAGATGCCAATATGTATAGATTTATACTGATTGGTGGTTTGGAACATGAATTTTATTTTTCCATATATTAGGGAGAATCATCCCAACTGACTTTAATATTTTTCAGAGGGGTAGGTATACCACCAACCAGCATGTATATGTTTCATTATAGTCATCACATGTCATCACTGTGTATGGTTGGAATCCTGATTGGAATGCACATAGACCAAGCAAAACCCAGGAGTCGCGTGGGCAGGAAACAAAATCTCCCTAACTGGAGGTTTTCATGGAACTTCATATAGAGGTGTGGGATGTTGGATTGCAATGTTTGATTACCAGAGGGTGACATATAATCTATAATATAATATCCATATATATTACTTTATATATATAATATCCATATATCATTACATATATATATATATATGATATATATAATATATATATATAAACATATTTGTCATATACACTGTATATTGGTTGGGAACCAAGTTTTATGGCTCCAAAAATCCGGGGAAAGTTCCCCAAGAGTCACCTGGGAAGTTGGTGTCACGTGTCACGTCGTTTGACACGTACACCATGAGACCATTACACCATACCCTCTGGTAAACGTTTACATAACTATGGAAAATCACCATTTTTAATGGACAAATCCACTATAAATGGTGATTTTCAATAGCTATTTTGACATAACCAGAGGGTATCCCATATGCTCCATGTACGGAATATTTACCAACATTCGCCCTACAAATCACCCAGTTATGTAGGTATACCAGCACCATGGAGCATCTGGGTATTACACCCTCTTAAAAAATTATTATGGACCCCCAAAAGTGGCAAATTCCAACAAGAACAATCTTCCAGATCCCATTTTTGGGGTTCGTTAAAGGGGTATAACCAGCTACCACTCGTCGCATGGGTTGCTGCGGGCCTCACGTTTCAGGTATGCCAAGTCAGTGATGTACACACCCTCCGTGGGGATGAGGCGGCAGTTGAAGGGAACATCTGCAGCCGGTGGCGTTATTGGGGGGTTCCATATTCATTGGGAATCCCCAATAGCTGGATGGTTTATTTCATGGACAATCCCAATCTAAAATGTATGATTTGGGGATAACTACCCCCATGTCAGGAAACCTCCATGTTTTGGATACTGTGAACATCTGTAAGTTTTTGGAAAATGATAAAACTTGGGATCTTATTAGAATCTTAGAAACCAGTTTCTGAGGATAGAATAAGGATAGAATATAACAATGTTTAACCAACCATGTTGTAATGTGTTCCGTCACTTTTTCTCGGATGTTCTGGTGCAAGTATCCCCAAAGGGCCAAACGTTTGAACCTGGTGAAAGATGGATGCCGTGCTGTAAACATGCGGGTAACCCACTCTGTATTTCTATTGAAACCGGTCCTGGGAAATTAAGCAAAACTGGAACTGAAATTGTGTATGTCTATTTCTCTGATCATGCGGCATATTCAATCATATTCAGGCATTGTGCTTTGCACTGCACGTGCTTCATAATGAGTCGTAGCTAAATGTTAAATTGAACACGTTTCCCATCGACGAGCCGTGACGAGTTTGGTATTCATTTTTACGCGGAATCCTTTGGAAGGTTGACATAGAAAAGCTGGACGAGCTGTGAGTGTTTCATCTGTCCTGTGCAACATTTTTTTTATCAATGGGAGATCTCCAGGATCCTAAAATGGAGGTACGTTAGTACCATATAAGGCCATATTTTGGGGGGATATTCCCTGAAATTCCCATTGATATAACGAAAAAATCAGAAGTCAGTCTGTTCACGTACTTGGCATTCAAAAAGTGGCTGGGAATTCAACTGCCGTTAAATTTGCCAAAGTGTTTGACATATTTTGTAAGACTATTTGGTGGTTCATCCCACTTACTAAGTAGGTTATAACCCCAACTATAAGTGGATTAAGCCTGCTTATCCCACTTATAACCAGGGAATACCAGGGATATAACCTACTTAGTAAGTGGGGTGAGCCACCAAGTAAGGTTAGACTGAAATGTTCAGCATCCAGATTGACATGAGATCCGCTGTCCAAAATTTGACCCAGTGTATGGATTGTTTCCTTCAAAGCAAACCATTGATAGTTGGATGTTTAACCCTATACAATAGTTACATGATGTTACATCATAATAGTTACATCATGTTTAATCCATGTTTAATCCATGTGTGTATCCCCAAAACTGCCATAAACCATAGCATTTGATGGGCCATGGGAAAAACGCGATTCATGGTTAGTAACTGGGGATAGGTATAACCCCCCAAAAAATCCCAATGAAATAATCCAGTTACTAACTAGTTTTCCCTAACTCCATGGCCCATCTACTCGTAGAAAAACTGACTCTCAAAGGGATCGATTCGATGGGGAAAATTTCGAAGGGAACACTGATCTGTCACCCCGGGAAGATCCCACAGTGCCAGTCCGTACTCGCCGTTCTCGCGCAAGAGTCGGGACGCCTTTGGAACGCCTGAGGAACGCCGTTTTTTTCATGGAAAGAAATGTGGTGGATCCTATTTATGGTGGGAAAAACCATGTCATAAACCACCCATTCGGGAATGGTTTATAGAACCTATTTATGGTGAAATTGAGGATGATTGATTTTTGTTTTACCAACATTACCTGTATTTGATCATCCCCCTTTAGATATTCCTTATAAACCAGCGGAAGCCGGGTACCGATGGCACCGCTGTTTCGGGGCAGTTTATAGAGATGTTACTTTTGAATGTGGTACACTCAATCACAATCAAACTTCATCTGTGGACCAAATCATCTTGGTTTCACCAAATGATGGCTGAACATGTCCCCCTGAATCTGCCCATTTTTCGATGTGCAGGGATTGCCCATAAAAGACCCGGTCGTTTAGAGCAGTTTCTAGTTTCTGATCCCGATTGCGATAGCCATAAATGGATGTAAATGGTGGTATGTGTGTATATAATATAATATTAATATATATTTATATATATATATCATACCATGGTATACCCCTTTTTCAGCATCAAAATGGCAATGATTGGTACATACTGTTTTCCATTTCGACAGCCATGGGCGTCTTCCCAGGTCCGGGCTACACTCCCATGAGCAGTCAGTGCCCCATGCCACATGCATCCAGGGCGTCGGTCTTCGGCGTATCTGGATTCCCAGCTACATCACTTTCGGATCTCAAGAATTCTGTATATGTCAAGTATTTGTTGGAGGTTATGCCAACTAAATATCCCGGGACTTCCCGGTTGGGTGATGTGAAGAAGTAGGACATGACAACTAACCCCTGATGGTTATGATTTAAATCATGGTTCAACAGCTGACTTGGGCCAAGCCGGGCTGAGGAGGCTTGGTCCCTTTGCTGAAACCCTCCATGAATCTCCAGAAAATATGACTCTATGGAATATTATGTAAATATATGTAGTGATATGTAATGACATAAATGTACGTATGTACAATGTGGGGCCCCCCAGTGATGTTAGATGGTTTATAAACCCCATGAATACTATAGTTATAGGTACCATAAAGTATAGTTATTGGAGTTATAAACTGATTTTGTACTGATCTGCCATGATTTCTAGATCATTTGCAGGGACTTATTTTGTGGAGATCCAAATGATTGTGCGGTTTGCAAACGTTCTTCGGAAGGTACGGCGCAGCCACTCCAACGGCGGTGCGAACCCCCACGTCCCGTGGCAAAAATGCTTAAGAAGGGGAATCAACGTAACACGCAATTGTGATACAGTAGTTAATATTAGTACTAATTAGTAACTAATAATATTATCTTGATGTTAGTAATATTATTAGTAACTATTATTTTTGTTTGTAAGAATTAGCAATTAATCACATTTATTGTTAATATTGTTAATTAATCATAAGTGTTCTTTTTGTTTATCAACCATATGTTGTTTTTTTTGGGTGAAATCTTCTAATCCAGCATGATGTCAGAAACCAAAGAATACATCTGGGCTAACCACGTGAGATTGAGGGCTAAACATGATGATGGCAAAAAGGGCTTGTGGCTCAGAAATGCGTGTGTTTGCAGGGGCAACAGATGTGATGGTTTTTTTTGTTGTATCCTTTTCCCATGTCCGGGATGAACCACAACAATCCACAACATCTTGGAGAAGATCTGTTTTTTTCCGCGAGAAACTGAGATTTCAACTTGTAAAAATCGCATAAAGGATGTGTTTTTTTACTGTAGATTCATCTGCGTAGAACAAAGGTCAGCATTAAAAGCGAACTGGGGCCACAAAACTTCTGGGTGGGTGTGCTGGCGTCAACACCTTATGCGACTTACCCAACGATGTGCAGAAATATCTATAGCATCTACTGTACCATTCATCCATGGAGAATAGGTATCATGTGGTTATAAGAATTGAATATCCTCTAGATGATCTACCCAACAGTAGATGTGTAGAAATATCTAGCACCTACCATTTATACCATCATCCATGGATTTCTTAGGAAAAGCAGAGCCATTCTTTTGGCAGGTACCCTCTGGTGTCGTATAGCTATTGAACATGGCCCAGTCGAAATAGTGGATTTACCCAGCTAGAAAATGGTGATAACTTCCATAGTTTTTTGTTAACGTTTACCATAGGGTAAACCTCCATTTTCCTATGGTTTTCCCATGGTTTTCCCATGGATGGATAACAAGGACCATAACTATACCACATCTTGGACATCTCCGGGCCAAAACATGCCAAGGATCGGCGCCGGCACGCCAGGCACAAGCCCCGGTCGATACAAGTTTTGTGGTACATGGCTATGGGTCAATTTGTTTTGACCCAATAAACCACAGATAGTATCAACATGTGAGTAATAGCCATGGCATCCAAATGATTAGATGAAAAAAAATGCTTACGATAATTTAACCATTATTTAAATTAACCTGTATTGACCTCTCCATATTAACCATCAAATTCACCATCAGTTTGTATGCTTATTGTTACATGGATATGTTAACCTGTATAAAAACCATCATTTTTTTTCATTCGCCGCCAAGCTGCTCGGGTGCCAGACTTAGCCAGACTTAGGGCCATGAGGTTGGTTTGTTTCAGCTTGGTGAATCGTTGTTGGGTCTGACAATTCATGAGGATTCAATGGGAGTTACCCTCTGGTAAACTAACATAGCTATGGAAAACCACCATTTTTAATGGGAAAATCCACTATTAATGGCCATTTTCAATAGCTACGTTAAATTACCAGAGGGTAATGGGATTAAGTGGTGATTTAATGGGATTTAGTAGGATTTAATGGTGGTATAGTTCATGTCAATGGATCGGTTTAATGGACAAGAATTACAGGAAAACCATATTTAGCCCATGATCTTAGTGGGACAATCTATGGTTTCCGCTTAAGATTTTCCCAAGAGAACCATAGAATTTTCAATCCATTGATTAGGGTTTAGGGTTTAGGGTTATGATAATTTACCCAGATCTATGGTTTCCGGTTAAGATTCTCCCAAGAAAACCAATCCATTGATTAGGGGATACCTCAAACTTGTCCTTTCTTTGGGCCATGGCCACGGCAACCATCCATTTTTGGGGCCGAAAAAATGACAAACCCCGCTGGCCAGGTTCCGGTTATTCACCTTCCATCGCTCCAGTGACTGCCGATGAATGGGGGGTGAAGTGAAGTAACTGAAGATATGAGCTATGGTCAATACTCATGGTTAATAACCATTAAAAACGGGGCTAGTCATCCAATGGTTCAGGATGGGATTTATAATAACCATTATTTTTGGATCCTTATTATGGATGGGATGACCATCAACCATATAGTGAGTATTGACCATGGCTCATATGTTAAAGAACTGAGTCGATCATAAAAAAAAAAAAAATACAAACATAGCCTAGTTGAACATCACTGTCGAAGTGGGGCAGTCAATAGCCTGAAGCATATGGGACGACTATTTTGTACGTATCAATTGTAGATTATGATGGAAGAAACATAGCCTAGTTGATTGGTTATGACATGGGAACTATACTACCTGTGTTACACTAGGGACTAGGAACCAACCCATGGTAGGGAAACCTATCAACTAGTATCAATGAGATAGCTAAGTTGACTAATGTTAGCTGGGTTGATTAGGGGGCTCTAACGAACTCGTATTTTTGGTTTTTTTTGTACCAAGGTGAGGCCCCCTTCACGAGTTGTGATATACGAGTTGTGATATCCCCCATAATTAAACCATAGAATTCACCAAGTTATATGGGTATGGATCAATACCTATTAATACCATTTTTAGGGGATTGAACATCCATTTACCAGCTATTTTGATGTTCACCAGGGGTACAAGGTTTTGACCCATCCCCATATGTCAACTTTGCTATCCTAATTAAACGGGAGCCTCACCGTCTGTATGTGTTGGTGGTATCCCATTTTTAACATGGTGAAACATGGTGAAACCCTTGGTCCGAAACAACGGATATCCCTCCTCGAAAGACGAGGTTCGTAGGGGAAATAAAAGGAATCATAGTTAAGCATACCAGCCCATGTTGTTAGTTCTATCAAGTTCTACAAGATGTCCATGTTAACACAAGCATGCTGTTTGATTGATCAACCCGACTTGAGATGATAATCCCGACTGACTCACATTTGTTTCAATTTCAGGGTGTGGTTTCACGACCAACCAGACAATAAATGGTAGATTAAGTAAAGTTAAAAACATGTTGTGAAGCAAGTATAATTGTTAAACTCTACAAATGTTGTGAAGCCGTTTCCGTTTCGATTACTATCGCAAGATAACGCCATTATAAAACTACCCCTTGATTATTTTGCATGATATCGTCCAAAAGATAGATCAACTATAATCATATATACCTTCTGGTAAATTAACACCCTGAACATAGCACAGTTAACCTCTGGAAACTAATCTTCTAAGCTCTATCTGCCAGGGTAGATATATGCTAACCTTTATTCTGGTTGGTGGTTTGGAACATGTTTTATTTTTCCATATATTGGGAATAATAATCCCAACTGACTAATATTTTTCAGAGTGGTTGAAACCACCAACCAGTATTGCATTTTACTATACGTGTTTTTCTGAAAAGGCCGGGTTACCCCAAATCCCATGAGTTCCATGAGTCATCGTCATCTTCCGCATTCAATAGACATAGAAAAGGGCGGTATACCATGGGGGCTACCCCCTTTTCAGACAAACCCATATAGTAAGCATTTAATTGCGATTTTGTTTTTGGACTATAGTTGTTTAACCCATTATATAATATTTGAATGATTGGTATTTAAGAGTATATTTGTTGATCTATATTTGTTCATAATTGATTCTATTAATCGTTCTGGGTAAATCACAGTGACCTCACGTCGTGACCGAACCCTGGAATCATGGTTAGGATTCGGGGAATGATTCCAATATAGCCTTAACTCAGGGGAGTGAATTCCTGCAATTTGCCCATTGTTTGAGCCCAGACAAATCCTCATTTCTGTGTCAGGCAGTAGCCTCCAAAATGCCCCGACATCCTTTAAGGCCAGTGTGGCAGCGAGCACCAGCAGAAGTGTGGAGGGTGGCAGTCCCATCATTGAGGCCTATGTGCGATGTGGGTCTGAAAGTGGGGCCAACAAAAACCTTCTAAATGGCGTTGTTTTTTTCATACCCAGCGATACAGGTTTTAACAGGTTTCAACCATTGAGCATAGGGATATCGCTTATAATTTATATGTGTGTTCCTTGTAAGATCCGATCTGTGGGTTGATCAGTGAACCATCACAAAACTGGGGACTAAAGCATAGAAATAAGTGGTTCAACCAGTCAAAATGGGGGGATATAGATATTGGTGTTTCTTAAAATGAGGGATCCCCAAGTCACCATGGGTTTCAATACTAAAATTCTCGTTCAATGACTGGATGATTTGGTGTAGATCCCATTTTCCAGGACAGCTCCATAGAACTGAATATAATTGATAAGTATGATTGATGGTTGGTTGATGATTGGTTGGGAGTTAGTCACATATTATTGATCATGCTTATATTATCGATACGTGATGGTTGGTTGATCATTAGTTCATACATTGTTGCTATGAGTTGCCAATCATGGTTATGAATAGTTATGAAGTTTTTCTATGGTTGGTTGATCATTAGTTACCATAGAACTATACCATTAGTTCATCATTAGTTCATACATTTTTGTTACCCTCTGGTAAATTAACGTAGCTATGGAAAATCACCATTTTTAATGGGTAAATCAACTATAAATGGCCATTTTCAATAGCTTTTTGTATGTTTAACAGAGGCTATGAGTTGTACAGCCCTTGAGTGTTCGATCCAATTTACACATCCGGCTTGGAGAAAAAGCCGAGTGGATTGTTCACCGGGATTTTTCAAAACATCTGAGGATTTCACTCAATTTCACAGCAAGAAAAAGACTAATTTCATTGCAAAGCCCTTGTTATCCAGTTGAAAATTTGTTATTTGTATTTGTATGGTTATAAAGTAGGACTATCATTGCATTTTTATGGGGTGACAACAGACAACATTAGCTGGTATTTCGGGCCCGAACTGTAGAACAAATCATGCGATGTTTGCTGTTGGATGGATATATAGTTCAATGATGTTTTTTGCTATGAAGAGAGGTAGAATATGTATGAATATGTATAACTCATCAACTTTAACAAGAGACGCAGGGTATGTAAGATGGAGATATGGTTGAGGGATATAAGTGTGTATATAAGTGGGTTAAAACATGTGGGACAAACATGCTTTACATGTATATAATTTCTATACACCTGATGTCAGGATCTCTTCACGCGATATACTCAACTTAAATCTCAATATGTATTTGACTTCGCGTGTTTAACAAAAGTCTGGGTTTTTGGCCCAACAAAAAACTGGTTGGTGCTTTGGAACATTTTTTATTTTCCCCAATAGTTGGGATGATGATCCAATCTGACGAACTTATATTTTTCAGGGGCGTAGGTATACCACCAACCAGACATGTTCAAGAAAACAAAACATCTTCATCGGGGCCATCATGATCAACCCAGTTGGTGAGATGGTGGTACCCCCAGGTTTGGAGCACATGATCAATGGTTGGTGAAAACCATAGGAAAACCATGGGAAAATGGAGGTTTTAATAGGAAAACCATAGGACAACCATAGGTCGTTCAACAACATTTGAAAGAAACACTGCTGGGCGAAATCCGAACAACAACAAAACGTAACTGAACTGACTTGAAGACTTGGAACGATTTATTGATTTTATTGTCTATTTGAATCCTAAAAATCCTAATGTGCCCATCGATTCTCCAGGATCAACAGCACGCTGGTCCTGTGCAATCTCCAGGCGGCGTGGCGAAGGTAACTTTCGGGTAACTTTCCTCGCTATGGAAGCCATGGACCCATAGAAATAGTTGTTTTTTTTGTTTGCTATACATGAAATCATTGTTGTTTAGGTAGTTTTTCTTTTAAGGTCATTTGCAAGACAGCACAAGGGACTCCCTTAGCAGCCGTGGAATGAAATGAAAATGTTTTTTTTTTCTTTGCCATATATGAAATCACCACCAGAGGGTAGTTCTGAAAAAAGTGTGTGAAAGTGCAAACTATCCGCTTGAGAATATAAGGGTACTTCGTTTGAATTCATTAAATTTCACTGGGAACGCTCTCCAAACAACCAGGACTTTGTTCAGTGCCCTCAAAATCGCTGGGTGTTTGATGGGAGAGGATTCTACGCACATTGATTATGAACCCCATGTCCATGCATATCCATTAGAATCATTTAGAATCCATTATGTAGTATCCATTATATACTTTTAATAGCCATATCAGCATCCATAGATTATTTGATATCCACATTGATCCACATTAAAAACATTAGAATCCATCAATTCACATTAGACTGATTGATCCATCAATATTCCCCTATGTCCATTCAATGACAACCAGGGCTAACCAGGGCGATTGCCTACCCGGTGGCAGATGGAGCCAGGATATGGCGCTGGAGCGTCTCCGGAGTATACTCCGGTGGATGCAGAGGTACTGGGACCCTGGGACGATGAGTTTATGCGATGTTGGGTATCATGGTAATGGTTATATAATGATTGTGTATGTACATTACTATACATCATTAATATTTTATCCCTAACCATCATTTTTATGTACTACATCCAAACATGCGATGATGATACTTTATCTCGTTGGTGGTTTGGAGCATGAATTGTTATTTTCCATTTCAGATATGGGATGTCATCCATCCCATTGACGTTCATATTTTTCAAGATGGTTATTGCACCACCAACCAGTTATGATTTGGGCAACTAGCAACTGGATTGTTAATGATAGTTTGGGACAAACCCAAAAAAAATCAGCGAAATGTGAAGGGTTTGCTGATGTCGTGTGGTATTTATAGGCACTTTTGGGATGTTTGAATCCTGCAGCACAAGTATGACCTGTCAGAAAGGTGTCTTATCCCTGGTACAGCCTGTCAGATCAAGTTCTTGAGCAATCCCAATTTGACGGCATTTGGTATTTGCAACATCTACCCGGCCTGGTAAACATACAGAAAGCTATTGGAAATGGCCCATTTATAGTGGATTTTCCCATTAAAAATGGTGATTTTCAATAGCTATGTTAAATTACCAGAGGGTAATATCAAAAGAACTCGATTGATATCTTTTCTCCACAAGAAGGCTTCCGGTCCAAACTGAAAAAAAAACTGGCAGACATCCTCAAACTTTTCTGAATTGATGGACTGCGTAGGATGTTTCACGTATTGATTGTTTAGTTGCCATTTGTCACTATGGAATGTTCCCATCAACCGATTACTGAAATCCTTGTCATTATGTGTTTTGGGACCAGCGATTCAACACCATTTTCGCACTCATTTCTACTCACATACGCATTCCGAGTACCTCAAACCAACCAACAAACACCACCAAATTGTGCTTTCACTCACTCTGAAGCCCATTGTTTATGCTCAATCCATGAAGATAAAAAAAACATTCTTCAGAACTAAGAAAATACCATAAACAACTCCCATCATGTGGGATTCAACCAATGATAAAGATTGTGAATCACCATGTTTTTTTTTTCAGAAAATACCTTTCCATCATGTGAGATTCACCCTGGCTGCCTTTTTCACAACTCCCATTTGGGGATGGTTGGGAATGTTGGGATGATTTCTGGGGAGCCTCCCATTTCTTGTTGTTTAGAATCGAGTTACCACATTGAACCTCGAATGATTTTCATTGGATTCGATATACACGAATCTACACCTACAGATGATTTTCCCATTACCATTTAGTAAATTAACATAGACCCTGAGAATCACCAATTTGTGATGGAAACTAATCTTCCAACCCCTATCTGCCAGGGTCTATGTTAATTTACCGGAGGGTAATGTTCATCATATCCTGTCCATTTAATATGGTCTCCAAGTCCTAAGCTCCAAAAGCCACTGTAGTTATTATAATTATCAAAACATAATGGAGTTAGAAACCACATCGAGCAACCAAACATGGATCAATGAACATAAAGAACACACACATATCTGAACCACATGATGAAGACCATTAACTAACATATCTTAACCACCATGCCATGTCTTAGTTTCATTTGGAGTCCAAATAAATATTTTAACCATGGATAAAAAAAATACAAAATGTCCGCCCCAACCCGGACGTTGCTCCACACTTACAATCATCATCATCATCATCATCATCATCATCATCATCATCGTCATCATCGTCATCATGATCATCATCACAGTAAAATTTGGCACCCCTCTGAACAATATGTTGGCTGGGGTAATAACATCAACTTTATCTTCATAAGGGATCAACATTTGCCACCCCCTATGAACAATATGTTGATTGGGGCAGTAACATCAACTTTATCTTCACATCCACCGAAGTCAGACGCGGCGCAACGTCAGGGTTGCAGCGAACATGTCCAGAGGGTAACCATAGAAACAAAAAAACATAGATATTGGATTAACCATAGATTAATCATAGATAGATATGGGTTAACCATCGATATTAACCATAGAGCCATGGATTAACCATAGCTTAACCATAGATCAGAAGCCGGGGAGGACACCATGTCGATGGCAGCTCCCTCGGCGGTCTACTCGGCCTCGGCGCTGACCAACGTCCGCTCGGAGGAGCCGACACTGACGGTGGCACCCAGGGGGGGATGGCTGGAAAATCGTCGGAAACGATGGGAAGATCATAGGACAATCACCACGGAAAAGCTGGTAAATTCATAGGACAATCAAAGGAAAGGATGGGAATATCATAGGAAATGATAGGACAATCATAGGACAAGATGGGAAACAATAGGAACATCATCGGAACAGGTTGGAAAGTCATAAGAAAAACATAGGAAACGATGTGAAAATCGTTGGAACATATGGGAAAATCATAGGACAATATTGTAAAATCATAGGGACAGATTGGTAATCATAGGAAACAAATGAAAATGTGGGATATGTGAAAATCATGGCAAAATCATAAGGAACATCACTTCGAAATCAAAGGAACATCTGGGAAAATCATACGAAAATTCGGGTTCATCGCAAGCAATGGCCCATGAAAAGGGAAACACCAAGTTTTCCAAAGTAGGACGTGCGCATCCATCCGTACCAGCCACCCGCGACCCTGCTAGGGTATGATGATCTGAATCCCAGTGATCCACCATCAAGCAAAAGGATAGGCTTTAATCCTTAATTATTGGATGATATAATTTGGCTAATGAGGTATTTGTTTACCCTTTCTTTTGTACACTCAACATGTTGTTTGGGTTGGTGCTTATTCATATACTATTGATAGTATTTATAGCCTCTATCATCGTATAAATTAGATTTCAGTTTGTTGGGGTTAGGGGTGGTGGGAATGTGGAAGGATTTTCGTCGATACCCTTATTGGCATACCACGATGAATTGGGTTGACTTCCTGAACGGCTTCAGGTTCCGAAACATGTCCGAGGGGTGGAATGCCCAAAGAAAGGAGGCTTAACACAAATGAATTTCGCGCTCGCATTAAGATTCACAAAAGGCTTTGTTTTCATATAACAACCATCCATTCCAAGGGGTTTTCCATTCACAAAATAAACACACACACACACAAGAGCAATCACTGCCGATTTTCTCCGGACCCATGCATGTGCGGCGCGAATGCGCCTTAAGCGACGTCCTAAACCCAAAGAAACCCAAAATAAACATATCGACAAATCTCCAGAAGAAATAGACACACCATGGTTTTTCTTCATGATGAGACCATGGGATCATATTGATCCATGAGCTCGAAACCATGGGATCCTCATGATTGGCCAATGGCCAGTGATAGTGAATGGATGCCTGCGCTGCTCCATCAAAGTGTCAGTCCGGACATGAAACATGTGCAGTCCGAAAACGACTCGCTCGTTGTCGCTCGGATCCTGGAATTTTTCGAGCAATGCCGAGGAGAACGACACAACATGAGGGTTTTCCTTCCCAAATCATGTTCAATAGTCTGGGGAAATTATAACATATTATAACGATCGAACCCTGTTCTCCAGGCTAGCCTGGAATCATGGTTTATGTTAGGGAAATCATCCCCTTTTATGCCCGAACTATTCAGGTTAGTGAATTATCATTATTTGCCCAGAGTAGTATCAAAGACACGGTAAAATGTCTCATCAAATTCATCAACTCCAAATGCTTCGAACATTCTCTGGTTGGTGGTTTGGAACAATCTCTCTGGTGACGCGTTCGACAAAGTGGTGGTTTGGAACATGAATTTTATGACTTTCCATCCATTGGGAATTTCATAATCCCAACTGACTATATTAAAATTTTCAGAAGGGGTAGGGCTCAACCACCAACCAGTTCTAATCATTCTATGATTTTCCCAGCTGTAAACCATTTAAGCGTCCGGGATTCCCAGCCATCTGCCACGGTCCTCCCACGGTCCACCGATGTCCAGCCAGGACGATGTCTTCGAAAATCCCGATGAGGTACGTTCCAATTAGCCATGACGGATCCATGGTGCTGATATATATGCTAACATGACTGGGGTATATTGATGGGATCCATGTTAGCATTTTTCTAGCAGCACCATGGATCCGTCATGGGTTATGATGAAGGGAACCATCCGTGAAAAAATGTGAACAAAATTTGGGGATTTCCGTATTATCCCGTATTTGTTTCCCGTATTATATTATGAAGTCTAATGACATTCAACAAGGCGACTTTTTGGAGTTAATTATGGTTGTTTCAAAAGAGGTGAGGATTGCCAATGTTTATTCTTGCACTTGTCTATACTCGGGAAGATGCAGGTGACAAAACTGTTCAGAATAGTCTTGGCATGTTTTGGGTAGATGTTCTGGACGTTGTGGAGTTACCGTATCAAGAAGATCTAGCGATGAATTTGACCGAAAGACTTAGCAACCTCACGACAACTCCGAGTTACCCTTTGGTAATTTAACATAATATATAGCTATTGAAAATGACCATTTGTAGTGGATTTACCCATTGAACATGGGTGGATCTTTCCATAGTTTTTTGTTAACGTTTACCGGAGGGTACCTCCAGTCGTGGAGAAGGTCCGTTGGAGAGCGCTTGGAAGCCCCAGGGTTTACCCCCATGTCGTCGCTTAGGAAGTGCCATAAGTGGAAAATAGTGAAGGTGCGATAGTTGGATGGTGAAGAAACTTTTGGCAGGTGCATGTGATGCATGTGGTTCTCCTCAAAAGGGCTGAATTTTCCCTCATGAAGTTGATCGGATTTGGTTTGCCTGCTGGTTGTGGTAAAATGAAAGTCTTCTATCTCTTCCGGCATGAATATACTGGTTGGTGGTTTGGAACCATGGAATTTTATGACTTTCCATCTATTGGGAATTTCATCATCCCACCTGACGAACTCATATTTTTCAGAGGAGTAGGTATAATTTAGCATAACTATGGAAAATCACCATTTTTAATGGGTAAATCAACTATCAATAGCCATGGTAAAATCAACTATCATTTTACTGTAGGGCTCAACCACCAACCAGTATGGATTTGCATTAATGTGGTAAACCCAATAATCACCATGTGCATTTTGGGATGGTTCATCCGACCATATCCAAGCCCCAAAAAAAACATCGCACAGGATGTCACTGCTGCGTACCAAGCACCAGAAGCTGAAGAATGAAGGTGCAGCAGTAGTGGCTCATTTCGTCTTGGATGATCACTGGATGGATCATCACTGGATCATATCCCAATGATTTTTCGGTTTTAGTCGCATCCCAAAACGGTTCGATTTATTTTTCGCCATCGATCTTGGACATTTCCCCAAGAGATTATTGGTAGATTTTGGTAACCGGTATCCCTTGGTGGCTCGGTTCTTTGGGATGAGTTTGTTGAAGGTACAGTGATGGCCTGGAAATACCACGCCATTGGAAGACATGACTTGCATTAAGGTCTTTAAGGACAAAACATGAAACAACACCAGGAGGTTGCGCATGTTCAGTGTTGCCCACTTTTACTTTTCGTAAATCAAAGGATGTTGGATGCAGCCACCTAGCAGTCGCAGGTCTTCCTCCCTATGACAGCCAGTACCCGCAACCAAAATTATTATAGATTCCTTTGACAAATATGATGTCATAATACTATATAGATCTATATAGTGTTTATAGAAACCTCGACAAAGATTGAAACCTCAATAATGATATATATATATATATATTATAGAAACCTCAATAGATAATAGTATGTCATATATAGTGTATGATAATGTATTATAGAAACCCCCAAAAAATGAAAAAAAACTCTGTTGCTAGGACCTGACCTTCCTATCCTTTTGGGGCTTGCGTCGGGGCAGGTCCAGCCAACAGCCCATGGGACGACGAAAAGACATGTGGAAAAATGGCGCGACGCGTGGTGGAAAAGGCAAGGTGAGGCCCTCTAAACGTGATGTTTGTTGGGGGATATGACTATAGTGAACTACATAATGTTTTATTTTGGAAATATGGCTACAACTATAATAATAATTATTATAATATAAGTATAATACAACTATAATATAACTATAATAGTCAATTTGTTTGGGTGGAAATATAGCTATAACATGCTATAACTATATACTGTAAGTTGGTTTAAGATCCCTTAAGTATAGCTATCTCTCGTTGTGTTTTCCATAAACCCTTGTTCACCTTCAGCTATAGGTCTTATTATAAGTCAACCTTCGCTATCGTTTCAACAGGGGGCCTCACCTTGAGGAAATGCCCATGTGTGAAATTCTGCAAGGCATGAATTGGAAATCCAACACTATTGGGAACATATTAGGAAGTACTCACATATATATATATATATAATACATCATAATATATATATAGACATACACATTATTCTATAGTTTGTGTTTGTAATGTTTTGATTATAGATACCCTCTGGTAAACGTTTACGTAACTATGGAAAGATCCACCATTTCCTAGCTGGGAAAATCCACTATAAATGGCCACTTTCAATAAATCCACCAGCTCCACCACGGAGCATCTGCAGGAGCCATGCTGACAGCAGGTGCCGCCTTCGCCACCCGCGTTTTGGGCTTCAGACAGCTGGCGTTTGGACCGGTTTTCCATGGCTTTCCCCAGCGAAACTGGGGGGAAAACTGCGGAAACTTCGGAAACACCACAGTGAATTTCTATGAAAATTGCTGACTTTCTATGAACATGAGGGAATTTCTATGAAAATTGGTGAATTTCTATGAAATTTGGTGAATTTCCATGAACATTAGGCAATTTCTATGAAAATTGGTGAATTTCCATGAAACTTGGAAAATTGGTGAATTTCTATGAAAATTGGTGAATTTCTATGAAACTTGGTGAATTTCTATGAACATTGGGGAACGCCAGAGTCAAATTTGATCAAATTCGTATTTTATTTCTTCGCCAGGGGTTGAAGTATGTTGAAGTACCTGGCCCTGTCATGAAGACCCGCATCGATGGGGAGAAACCCGTGAGTTTACCCTATCCAAACCTAAGAAATATGAGCAATGGCCATTTGAGGTACCTAAATCGGAGGTACCTATGAGGCCTATGTAAGGGCTATGTAAGGGTATAGATATCCTCCAACTATGGCACGTTTAGAGTCCTGAAAATCTCACATTTTTTCGGACACTTCGAGTCCCCAAGGCGTTTGAAAATCAACATGGTGCCTCTCATTCTTGCTGCGATGATTTCTCCATCTCATTTTGACAAAACACCGTGAATTTGTCCCATAGGTATACCCCAAATCCATCCAAATCCTTTATATATTTTTTTCATCATTGTGCGCCACCATGGTACTGGCAGTCACTGACTCCATGTTCTCCACAACTGCCCGCGCCGTCTCAGAAAAGGCCAAGACTCTAAGAGTACCTTCGGCCGCGTGTCATGGTGACCTGCTGCATTGATGCCAGGAGACAAATAACGACATTCGGAACAAATCTTGAGTATTTTTCAGCATCCAATGATTTTCAGGATAGATCTTCTTTTCTACCCTAAGCTGACATTTTCCAGTGCCCCAGTTTGTTCGTGATGTGGTCGTTGCAGATTGGGTTCGCCGGCTGTTTGATCTTGGGATTGGGCATGACATGGACCCTGATCCAAGCATGTTGGAACATGAATTTGAAAAACGTTCATCGCTTCGTGAAAAGAACGCGGCAACAAGCGCCATGGGAAATAGCGCCTCCAATTTCAGTTCCTTGACTGAAAAAATGGGACCAAACTCCTGGAGGCAACTGCTAGGCTGAGCTTTCCAGGTGTAGTAAGGGGTCTTCAGTCCCTGCTAAATTTCAAAAAAGATCTGGACTCAGGATCACCCACATATGCACTCATCAACGAGCCATTTATGATTAATATGTATATATATATGATATCCATGTATGGTGAATGTCAAGCTGCGGTTCACTTGTTGAACTGTCAATGAGCGAATTCCTAGATCAACCATGACACTGTAAACATGTAGCACCTATTGGTTCAGCCAAATTGACAATATGATTTTATCAATCCTGTTTGATCATCGTCTTACCATTGTTGTCAACTACCTGTGTATAGTAAGTAGATGCCACTAGCGTGGAGTCTTTGGAGCATGTGATTGGTCAGTGCTTCAACATTGACATAATTTCATATAATTTCACATAGCTGACCAGCTCATGCTAAATGGAATGGGTGGTTCTCATCCAAAATGTGTGCCAGAGACGGTAACCCCAGAAATACGGCAGAACACCCTGTACTTGGGGGGAGGAACTATGGTGATTGGTGGTTTGGAACATTTTTCATTTTCCATACATAATATATGGGATAATCCTTCTCATTGACTAATATTTTTTCAGAGGGGTTGAAACCACCAGCCAGTATGGTTTCAACCGGTAAAAACTATGGTTTCAACTTCAATCATATATAGAAAACCATCCCTTGAACCTACTGACACACCTCTTTTCCACGTAGATGACGGTAGATTTCGGCCCCATTTTCTCGGCCACGGTTTTCTTAATGTTCATTTGGAAGTGGTCCAGTAACCATCAACTTGGGTTGTTGGAAGTGGTCAGTACCCTCTGGTAAACATACAAAAAACTATGGAAAATCACCATTTTTAATGGGAAAACTCACTATTTCTATGGCCATTTTCAATAGCAAACTGTTAGTCATTACCAGGCCGGGTAAGCATCAACTCATCAAGATGTTGGGACAGCTGCAGTCGTCGCGGTGTCTTCCAAACAGGAAGGTCATTTGAAATGGGAAAAGGATGGAAAAGGATCATAATCCAGGAAGGGTTTAGGGTTGAGGTATATAAATGTATATAACCCATATATAACCCATATATAACTCATATAAGACCAGTTTCAGAGATTTTTTTCCAGAATGGTTCGCCTGTCAGGTTGCGCATGTCGCTTTGAGCCTGATCCTCTTAGGCCCGCTGCTGGCAGGATCTGGAAGATCCATTATGCCATAGCTGGGTTGGTGATTTGGAACATGTTTTATGTTTCCATATATATATATATACATATATTTGAAACCACCAACCAGATAGGCAACTGTGATGAGTGGAATCTCAAATCATGGGGTTGTAGACTTTTGGGAGACTGTTTGTTGTTTGTTTTTACATTTAAGGAGAACATATTTGATTTGTTTACATTGAAGGAGAACATATGAATTTCATTGCAGGAACTCTTTGGTAGGATGAGAGGTGTGATATTTGAATATTTGAGGATACACGCCACTCTCTCACCACTGCTCGAAGGCACACACACCCTGACATGTTTGGCTGATGATGGTAGACAAACATAGCACCGTTCATCCATGTTTCATTCCCAAGTTGACTATTCTAATACTATTCTATAATATATATATATATGATATTATATATATATATGATATTATATATATATGATATTATATATGTATATGATACTATAATATATATATATATATCTATGTATAGTATCATTTTCATTTTCATATAGTTGTCTAGATGTAGTGAATATTTAGGTTTCTGTGCAAATCCCGGTTGGCAGTTTGCATGAGACCCATACTACATAGCGTTAGTAGATATCACAACAATGTTTATTTTTGAACCCATTTGCATTTTGATCATTTATTTACTTTTGCATGGATCTAGTTTAGCACAGACAAGCACAAGTTTGCATCGTTTGTTGATATGGGTTTGCCCGATCATGCGTTATAAGTTATACCATAAACAAGTGACCATCTTGATTTCGTACCACTGTTTGTTTGGGGTAGCCCATCTTTTGACAAACCCATGTCTAGTTCCTGGTTTGATTGGTGTTGTTCATGTTCTATTCCCCCAAAACTGATGCTGATCCTCAATCAACATGTGTTTTTCCTACAGAGGCTTTAAAGAACCAACCAGCTATGTCTCCCCAAAAAGTTCTTGCAGAAATATCTCAATCGATCCCCATCTACCCAAGTTTCTATTGCAAAGGTCATCTCTGTATGACATCGTCATTTGTTGCTGGTCAAACTCCCATTGTTTGCTTGTGAAATATCCGCATTTTAACTGAATCTTGAATGTATCAGATATCTGGTCCTTGATTATCATAATTTAGGAATATGTGTATTTATATACATATATGATATATAATTTAACATCCCATGATTATCTGGTCCTTGTTGGTGGTGTCCCCATTCTCGATTGGTGGAGTCATCCCTG